TTGGCGGGTTGCAGGATTAGGGTCTAGGGTTTGGGGTTTGGGGACGCAACCTTAACCCCCAAACCCCTAAAGTTAGCCGAGCTGGTCGCGAGGCCACCCGACCACAACACCACGGGATTCCAGGACCTACCAGCGTCCAAGCCAGTGGACTTGGCGCTGAGGCGCAAGCGGTTTAACTGGGACCCAGAGTGGGCCCTTGTTCCTTTTTTTTTTTGGGGGGGGGGGGGGGGTTTGAATTGCGTGATAGCCCCCTTAGAACCAAAAAGTGCGCCCTTTCTATTCCTAGGTTACTACTGGGTCTAGAAGATTCAGGGTTTTACTTAGGATATGCAGGCTTCAGGGTTGGGGCTTCTGGGATTTTGGGCTTGGGGTTCATAGGGTTTGGGATTTGAGTGTGCAGGGCTTAGGGTTGGGGATTCAATTAGGGCTGTACGGGTCTTGGCTCGAGGGTAGCTTAGTGGGGATAGGGCTTGGGTTTGAGGATTGAGGGCAACTTGTTGCGGGGTTGAGGTTGAGGCGCAGGAGGGATCGCTTTTTTGAGGGTAGAGGTTCTCGGGTCGCTTGAGGCTGGAGGGCTTTGAGGCTGTGAGGGTTCAGGACTGGGTCTATAGGTTTTATCTCACTTGGTTGTTCAGGCTTTGGGTGTTACAGGGTTTCAGTGTTTAGGATGCAGGCTCAGGTAGGAGGGCTTGCAGGGGGAAAACAGGGTTTAGGGTTTCTAGGAGGTAGGGTTGAGCCCTGGGTTTTAGCCTGCTAGGCTTTAGGGTTCAAAGAGATTAGGGCTGAGGGTTCAGGGTTTGGGAAGTCAGGCTTCAGACTTTGAGTTGAACGAAAGCCTTTCACAGTTCACCCTAAACCCCAAACCCTAAACCCCAAACCCTAAACCCTAAACCCTAAACCCTAAACCTATAGGCAACAGACGACTTCGGCCAAGCTAGCGCTGGCGCAGGCGCGGGGAAGGAAGGGTGTGGGCACCGATGACACCCCACAACTGCAGCCTTGGGATGTTCCCCCTTCTACTAACAGTAGGGGATTAGAATTTGGGGGGGGGTGGGGGGGGGGGGGGGGGTGGGGGAGGGGCTATAATCCCTAATTGTTAAGGACTGTTAGTATAAGGGAGAAACAGCCCAACTCAAGCCCTATAAACTACCCTAAACCCTAAACCCTAAACCCTAAGCCCTAAGCCCTAAACCCTAAACCCTAAACCCTAAACCCTCAACCCTCAACCCTCAACCCTCAGCCCTTCCTTTCAGGTCTGGAGTTTGAGGCTCAAAGGGGGGAGGATGATTAGCAGATTAGCATGTAGCGATCGTCGTCTTAAACTATAACAGCGGTTTAGGGTTTAGGGTTTAGGGTTTAGGATTTAGGGTAAGGGTGTTAGCCTGATTCTGGGGTTAGGGCTTAGGTTTTCCCTAAACTCTAAAAACACTGAAACCCTCCTGATGGCTGGGGGCATTCTGCTGAGCAACTTGCCCGAAGTGTCCATGGACCCTGAACAGGGTACTTATACGCATCCTCGACTGAAGTAGACTGAAGATTGCCTACATACTGACCTTGGCGCCTGAAGATCTATACTACCATAGAATATAACCTATATATGCTTGCTCTCCGCAGGGAATAAGGGACTTAGAAACCATATATGTATATGTATATATATATATGCCCTTCAAGGGTATACACTGCACATATCCACAGTGGGGTTGTAAGGTGCCCATAGTTCCCTCATTTTCTGCTAAGAACCCTTGTGCGCTTTGCAGGAGCACGTTGAGCGGGGCCTCCGTGTTCGTAAACATGTGTGAGATGCTGAGCAATGTTGGGCACACTGCTATACTAGCTTGAGTGCTTATAAAGGTCACGCAACATCATACACCCTAAGCCCAAAACCCCAAACTCTTAAACCCCAACACCCTAAACGCTTCCCTGGGAATGGAGGGCCCCTCTTCGGAGTATTCTCAGGGAACCGTTCCCCAATGCTTAGTAGGGACTCCTCTGGGTCGAGCGGCGCCGCTCGCAACTGCCTCGCGCGAAAGAAAGAAGGCAATTCTGGGTCCTAAGCCCTAAACTCTTAGGGTTCAGGGTCCGGGGTTTGGGGCTTAACAAACCCCTGAACACCCTGAAAGCCCTGCAAAGCCTAAACCCCCTTAACCCCTAAACACCCTAAAAAGCCTAAACCCCCTAACCCTAGCCCTAGGGGTCCATGTACCTAAATGGGGAAGGCTTGGGCCTTAGAGCACTTCCTACATAGGGATTTTGGGGCCAAGTTTTTCGTTACAACCCGAAGCCCGAAACCCCAAACCCTAAACCCTAAACCCTAAACTTGTTGGCCATCTGCGGGGTGCGAAGCATGGGCTTCCCGGGGGTTGGGGCTGCAGAGTTGAGTTTAGGGCTCTTGGGGCTTTTGGGGTTTTGGGTTTAGGGTTTAGGGTTAGGGTTTAGGGGCTTTGGGGTTTAGGGTTAGGGGGTTTTGGGGCTTTTGGGGTTTAGGGTTTAGGGTTTAGGGGGCAGGGGGTTTTGGGGTTTGGGGTTTAGGGTTAGGGGGCTTTGGGGCTTGTGGTTTAGGGTTTAGGGTTAGGGGGTTTTGGGGCTTGGGGTTTAGGGTTTAGGGTTTTTAGGTTTAGGGTTTGGGGGTTTTGGGTTTGGGGTTTTGGGGCTTGGGGTTTAGGGTTTAGGTTTAGGTTTAGGGTTTGGGGGTTTTGGGTTTGGGCTTTTGAGGGGTTTGTGAGCTTTCAGGTGCTTGAGGGGTCAAACTTTTGGGTTCAGGGTTTCGGGTTTGGGGAGGGGTTTACATGGATGGGCTCACGAGCTTGCGGTTCGATGGGTTTATGGTCTGTTCCGGCTTTTTCGGGGATTTCAGAGCTTGGAGTCTGAGACCCTGAAGACTAAACACCTAAACCCTAAAGTCTAAACATCCCTAAACCCTAAACCCTGAACCCTAAACGGTTTCTGGCTCAGGACATGAGGGGTTGGGGGTTCAGGGCTTTCTGGCTCTGGGTTTAGGAGGCCTCAAAGATCTTTAGGGTTTAGGGTTCGGGGCTTAGGGTTTAGGGTTTATGGTTTTAGGGTTTTCGGGTTTAGGGCTTAGGGCTTACTACCCTAAACCCTAAACCCTAAACCCTAAACCCTAAACCCCAAACCCCAAACCCCAAACCCCAAACCCCAAACCCCAAACCCCAAACCTAAACGGGTTTAGGGTTTTTCGGGTTTAGGGCTTAGGGCTTAGGAACCCTAAACCCTAAACCCTAAACCCTAAACCCTAAACCCTAAACCCTAAACCCCAAACCCCAAACCCCAAACCCCAAACCCCAAACCCCAAACCCCAAACCCCAAACCTAAACGGGTTTAGGGTTTTTCGGGTTTAGGGAGGTTTAGGTAGTTCGGGTTTGCAGGGCGCAGGCTTCCGGAGTTTGAGGCTTTGGGTTCTGTGGGCGTGCCGGCTTTCCAGCCTTCAAGTGCTCATTGGGGTTTAGGGTTTAGGGTTTGGGGTTTGGGGTTTCGGGTTTAGGGTTTAGGGTTTAGGGTTTAGGGTCTAGGGTTGCGTCCCAGAAGTTGGCAGCTTTTGGAGGTTCAGAGCTGCTGCTGGGCTTGCGATGACTTAGCAATTTAGGGTTCACTGTTTTCGGGGAGCCTGCCCTAAACCCTAAACCCCAAACCCTAAACCCCAAACCCTAAACCCCAAACCCTAAACCCTAAACCCTAATCTTGAAAAGTGAGGAACATCCGCAATCTTCTTGGCTTTTGCATGCCCTGTGCCTTACAGCAACCATATATAGCTCAAAGACATGCTGAAAAGAGCCGGCCACCCTCATGGTTTAGGGTTTAGGGTTTAGGGTTTAGGGTTTAGGGTTTAAGGTTTAGTATTCCGAAGAGTCTACTTGCAACAGCCGAGAGCATGACTGTAACTCTTCAACGTCTTTTTCCTGTTGAATAAGGCTTTGCGGATTCTCAGAGCTCGAGCCCAAGCTCCAAGCCCTAGCCGCAAGGCCCCCTAAACCCTCTAAGCCCTGACCCTAAACCCTAAACCCAAACCCTAAACCCTAAACCCTAGACCCCAGACCCTAGACCCTAGACCCTGAAGCAGCAGCCAGTCTTAAAGATCTGACGGACTCCCGCCTCGAAACAACCCCCTGTAAACGTTGCTTTCCGCGCGGGCAAGAGAGGTGCGGGGGGCTGCTCCGTGAGTGCCTTGAGGGATTTTGGGCCACAGTAGAGGGTTCACGTGCTGCAATGCCTGTCTCAGCATAACACCTTCCACAAGAAATAGCCCCAAACCCTGAACCCTAAGCCCTGAACCCACATTCTACACATGCGAACCTCATGCACCTCTAGAGGCTTCTACCTAACTTTTTTGGGGTATCTGACTTGGGAGCCAAGAAAGGTCAAGCACATGAAAACCATTGAAAACCCCCAAGCTCCCCAAAAAAGGGGTTGCTTACACGCCGGTAGGTTCAGGAATCATTCGCCCTAAGCCCTGAACCCTGAACCCTGAACCCTAAACCACACAAAAAGGGGTAGGGTGTTTTGGAGTGCAGGATATTAAGGGCTCAGGGTTTGGGGCTTAGGGTTTCGGGCTACCACCCCCCCCCCCCCCGCCGGTGCAGGGTTTAGAGTTTCGGGTTTAGGGTTTGGGGCCATACCTTCGGGTCTAGAGGTCTTTTGTACGCTGCAGCACAGCCCGCCCTTGGCAGACTTCATGTTTTCTCTACCCTAAGCCCTAAGCCCTAAACCCTAAACTTAAACCCTAAACCCTAAACCCTAAACCCTATTTTTTTAGCCCTTAGGATCCTTTAAGCCTTTGAAGACTTCTGCAAGTTTAAGCTCAACCCGTGGCCCACGTCTTCCAAACCTTTCAAACCTCCAAGCCTGTCAACTTTTAGCCCTAAGCCCTATAAACCCTGTAAACAACCCTAAAACCCCTAACCCTAAACCCCAAACCCCAAACCCTAAACCCTAAACCCCGAACCCTGCAAACCCCAAGCTTTCAACAGGAAGTCTCCAATGGAATGGGTTTGGCCTCTGATGCCGGGCGCTCTGTGGGAGCCTCAGGGGGAAGCCGAAGCTCGGGGGTTTAGGGTTTAGGGTTTAGGGTTTGGGGTTTAGGGTTTAGGGTTTAGGGTTAGGGTTTAGGGTTTGGGGTTTAGGGTTTGGGGTTTGGGGTTTGGGGTTTTGGGTCCACGTGCTAACGCCAAAGGACCAAGGAGTTCCTGCTCACGTCCCTATGTGGCCGATGGCCTGTGCCTATGCCCTCCACCGGGTCACATGGGATACTATCCCTGTGTAGGTTGGTCCTACGTATTCCACGGCCCATTAACCACCCAGTTTCCAGCACAGCCCTCACCGCTGTCGATGCTGGATGAGACAATGGGGGCACCCGCGACGCCGCTCGAGTTGTTGATCCCTTGTACGCCAGATGACATCGATCCTCCGCGGTTTGTTCTTGCTCTTGCCAGACAGCCCAGACTGTTGCTACCTCACCTTTGCAAGGTTTGGGGTTAGTGGTTTGCTGCTGCGTTCAACGCGTGGGCCCATGCACTTCGTTGTGAGTTTTGTTGCTTCTTGAGGACTGGCACCGCCGTGTCGTTTTTTGGTTTCGGGAACATGGTTCTGTCAGCTGCAAACTGGGTTCCTTGGTCGCCCGGCGGTACTCTTTTTAGACCGGTTCAATTTCCTTCCTGCAACCCGAAAAGCCGCAGAAGCCCCACAAACCCCACACGCCCTAAGCCCTCAACCCTGAAAACCCCCTAAACTCTGCGAACCCCCCCACACCCATGCCCTGGAAAAGCCCTCAACCCTACAACCCTCAATCCGACGGCTGGTATTGATACAGGTCCTGGCGAGATAGTACGAGTCGGGCCCCCCTTACGATACTAACTTTAGTGAAGGGAATTATAACCTGCAAAGAAGGACATATTGCCCAGTCAAGGGCCCTTATAATCCCATCTCTGACGAGGGAGTGCAGCTCGTGTTCAGGGTCGCGGGCCTACGCAAGGCCCTTGGTAAGCCTCTGAAACCTTAAACCTATGAACCCGAAGCACCCTAAACCCCGAAAGCCTGAACCCTACAAGCCTGAAACCCTAGCCCTAAGCCCTGCGCCCTGAACCCTAAGCCCTAAACCCTAAGCCCTAAACCCTAAACCCCCAAACCTGCTGTCAGCTCGCCCTGCCTCATGGGGCACCGCAGCGGCAGCGCCCGGGCATCCTTCTCGGCCAGGCCGGCTCTTCGGTTTCAGGGTTTAGGGTTTAGGGTTTAGGGTTTAGGGCTACTCTAGCCCTAAACCCTAAACCCCTAAACCCCAAACCCTAAACCCCATGTACCCTAGACCCTGTCAATCCTAAACCTTCGCACCAACCTCAAAGTGACCCCCCCCCCCCCTCCCGGCCCCCAATCCCTTCCCCTCAGAGGACTCTGCCTTGGACCCCCTAAGGTTGAACCCTTGGGTTTAGGGGGGCCCTTGTTAAAGACACTCTGAAAAGACAAGGGCCATCTGAGGGGAATATTCCGGGAACCTGTTATGGGTGTATGCTTAGGGGCACGAGTCTTCATCCCTTGATCCTCCCAAATAGGTGTCCACCTTTGCCCCTCTGTAATATGGGTAGTTCTCTAGGATGAGCCCGTTGGGGGGGGGGGGGGGGAGGGATTCCTGTTTACACGGTGCCGTACTACAAGGGGCCCAAGAAAGGGAACCTAATTTAGAGAACCGCCCATGTTCAAAACTCGTCCAGGGAAAGGGCCCTCCACCCTAATCCTTAAGGCAGAATAGGTTTAGAAAAGGTAAAGCTTAGACTCCCTCAACCCTAACACCCCAGCTCTGCAATTACACTCGAGTTCGGGACTACTACATACCTCCGATCTCCTGACTACTGAAGCCCCAAGGGCAGTACATAAGAGCTAGTGCCAAGGCTCACATCTTTGCCATCTGATTTGTTGCGACGTTGCGAGACATGAAAGTTGAAGCTTTACAGAAGCTTCACAACTTCCTGGTTCATGACAACTCTAACAATGCGACAAAGCTGAGCAAGATGGTAGATTGTACGGCGGAGGTTGAGCTACTTCTTCAAGTCAGAGGCATCATTGACCACCAGATTGACCGTGCGCAAGACTTCTGCAGTGAAATTGCGACCGACGACTGTTCCAAGACCGAGGTTTAGGGTTTAGGGTTTAGGGTTTAGGGTTTAGGGTTTAGGGTTTCGGGTTTAGGGTTTAGGGTTTAGGGTTCACCATGAAAGAGCTCGTGAATGAAGTCGTGAAGGTAGAGGTGGCTTCTTGAAGTCAAAGAGGCCGCGAAGCCTAACGCGATGGAGACTTAAACAAGCCTGTTTAGTAATTCTTGAAAAGATGTGACGGAGTGCAAGATGCAGAAGAAGCATTGTCAAATAGACAGGGCGATTGCTGAATATGCGGTTTTGGCATTGTGAAATAGGCAGGGCTGTTTTCTGGATACGGTTTTGGTCTCCTCTGAAGGGCCTCCACACTAAACCCTAAACCCTAAGACCCAAATTTCCTGAAGCCCGACGCCTCCCTGGATCCCTCTGCCCCTGCGCCTCCCAACCCCCCGCAAAACCCGAATATCGCTGCACTTGGCACCCTAAACCCAAAACCCGTCTAACCCAGGGCTTAGGGTTTAGGGTTTAGGGCCCATTATCCCCAGGCCCTGGGACCCGACCTCCCTAGCTGTAATCCTAAAACCTAAAACCCGATCACTCTATATCCCCAAGCTCTACCCTACAGACCCTACACGGTTTAAGGTCCCTTGATTAATTGGGTTGTTAGTCCTACTTTTCAAGTTATTTTTCCCTTAACTACAGTTAGTATAGCAAGGAGGCCCCCTAAAACCTAAACCCTAAACCCTAAACCCTAAACCCTAAACCCTAAACCCTAAACCCTAAACCCTAAACCCTAAACCCTAAACCCTAAACCCTAAACCCTAAACCCTAAACCCTAAACCCTAAACCCTAAACCCTGACCGGGGGGCGCGGACGACCAGGCCCAGCCCTTTTGGCTGGCCGGGACCTCGGCCAGCCACGCACTTTGGGTTTAGGGGTTAGGGTTTAGGGTTTAGGGTTTAGGGTTTAGGGTTTAGGGTTAGGGTTTAGGGTTTAGGGTTTAGGTTTAGGGTTTAGGGTTTAGGGTTTAGGGTTTAGGGTTTAGGGTTTAGGGTTTAGGGTTTAGGGTGTAGGGTGTAGGGTGTAGGGTTTAGGTTAGGGTTTAGAGGCTCACGCTGTACCCCTTTTTGCGGGTGCCTTGTTTTCGGGTTCGGGCACTACTGAAATTCAATCAGTTCTGCACCACACTCGGAAAAAGCAAACCCCAAACCCTAAACCCTCTAAGGCATTCCAAAGAAAAGTCATGAGGAGTAAGAACATATTCGGGCCGGGATCTAGTGGGTTTAGGGTTTAGGGTTTTGGGGTTGGGGTTTGGTATAGTAGTCTCCCTCCCCTGCGGGCACTTCACTGTTCATGGCCCTAGACCCGAACCCTACATCCTAAACCCTAAACACCCAATGCCACACCCTCAGCCCCAAAGACCCTCAACCCCAATCCAAGGAAAGAACCCCCCCCCCCCCCCCCCCCCCCCCCCCCCCCCCCCCCTAGCTACTCTAGTACGCGTTCAGGCGTTCCAGCCCCGTATAGACGATGCGTTTGTAGGTAGGAGATCTCCAACTCTCAATGCTCCCTGAACATTAGGCAGGGTTCACTTTGAGAAACCCTACTAAGGCGTACCTGGGGGGCAGGCCTGGTTGAGGGTTCAAGAAGCCCTAAACCCTAAACCCTAAACCCTAAACCCTAAACCCTAAACCCTAAACCTCATGGTTTTCGGGCTCCCCGCCAGCCGCGAGATTCCCAAAACAGAAGCCGGCCAGGTCGAGCTGAAGAGCACCCTGGCATTCCCAAGTGGCTTCCTTTAGTTTAGGGTTTAGGGTTTAGGGTTGAGGGTTTAGGGTTTAGGGTTTAGGGTTTAGGGTTTGGAGATTAGGGTTTTGGGCTTGGAGTTTAGGGTTTAGAGTTTGGAGTTTATTTCGGGTTTGGAGTTTACGGGTTTCGGGTTTCGGGTTTGGGGTTTTCGGGGTTCAGTTTAGGGTTTAGGGCTTAGGTTTAGGGTTGGGGTGTGGAGTTTAGGGTTTAGGGTTCAGGGTTTAGTGTGTTTTTTGAGGTTGGCCCTGCGAAGGAGGAGCGGGGGGGGTTCGTATGGGGGCCCTAAACCCTAAACCCTGAACCCCATACCCTAAACCCGCCTCGAAAACGACCCCAAAGCCGACGTGAACTCATACCCCCCCCCCCCCCCCAACTGCCAGGTAGTTGCGGCACGGTTCAGGGTTTAGGGTTTAGGGTTTGGGGCAGGGTTTCGAGTTTAGGGTTTGGTGTTTAGGGTATGAGGGGTTAAGAAGTAAATCCTTTAAACCCTATAATTTCATCCCTGAACTCTAAACACAAACCCCTCCCTAACTAAACATCAAGCCGCCAAGAACCTCGCACCCCTCTTCTACAAGTAGGGGCCCCTTTAAAATAGTCTCTTTTGTCAGGGAACTTGAACCTAAAATTTGTAAGACTTGTAACCCGAGTAAGGGCCCTTCTAACCCTATTTATAAGTAGGGGGACCCTGCATGTACCCTAAACCCTAAATCCTAAGTCCCCATTGATAGCTATGGGCCCCGGTTTCTTTGTTTGTGTGCTAACGTCGCTCCGGACCCGTACGCCGAGTTCAAGTTTAAGGTTTAGGGGTTTAGGGGTTTAGGGTTTGAGGGTTTAGGGCTTAGGGTTGAGTGTTTTAGGGGTTTAGGGTTTAGGGTTAAGTGTTTTAGGGGTTTACGGTTGTAGGGTTTGGGGTTGAGCGTTTGAGGGTTTAGGACTTTAGGGTGGTGAGGTGCGGGGGTGGGGCTGGTGCAATAGAAAAAATCGTGCTTGTGAGTTCTTGTGTCGACCAGCGACTGCGTGGACAAGAGTTTCGTGGTGAAGGTCTTTGACATGCGTGGGGCGGTCCAATGAACGCAGTCTCTTCAAGCTGTGTTGGGCATGCTACACATTTCAGTACTAGAATGAGAGAGTGTAAACCTTTTGAAAGGGTATTTCGACCAAAGCAAGTTTCCTCTTGTGCCCGATTGCCGGCCGAGCAGTTGATAAGACTTCATACCCTTGGGAGGACCCAAAAAGTAGAACCCCCAAATAGTACCCTAGAATACTATGCTATTGGGTCATTCTTAGGAACCCTTGCAAGGTTCCGCTTTTTGGATCCTCCACGGGGTCTGAAATTTCATATTCCTTCGAAGAAACTAAGGGACCATATCAAGGGACCCTAAACCCTAAACCTTTGAAGGAGGTAGGGGGCCCCATTAGGGCCCATACAGAACTCCCCCCTTGCCCTTACTTGGAGGTTCATGGTACTTAGTAACCCAATTATAGCTGTACTTATAGCCCAATGTTTACCCTACTAGGGTACTTAAGGGGCTTATTATTACCCTATTAGGGTACTTAAGGCTTTATGTGGGTTATGGCTGCATTTCTTGCTAAACACAGGCTGGCTCTGGTGCTCCTTCCTGGTCGTTTCTTACTTTGTCGTCGGAATCCTCTTCTACTCGCATGCACCTTGACGAGCAAGGAGCCCCAACAACCCTAAACCCCAAACCCTTAAACATGAGCCCCTAACCCCCTATAAAAACCCCAAAAACCCTAAATAAACCCTAAGCCCGAAACACTAAGCCCCCAAACCCTACACCCCTAAACCCTAAACCCCTAAGCCCTAAACCCACTTTGGGCTGGGACCTCAACCTCCCCAAGAAGTCCTCAGATCCTCCACCCCTTCCACTGTGGAGGATTCCAAAAACCCGAGAGCCCAAGCTCCAAATCCTCAGGTTTAGGGCTTAGGGTTTAGGGTTATAGGGTTTAGGGCTTAGGGCTTAGGGTTTCGGGTTTCGGGTTTCGAGTTTAGGGTTTAGGGTTTAGGGTTTAGGGGTACATGTAGCCTGTAAGTTTGAAATAAGGTTATAAGGACGCTGAATTGGGATATAAGTCTTACTATAATTGCCTTACCTAAAGTTAGTATAGTCAGCGCCACTACATGTACCGACCCTAGACCCTCAGCGCTTGTGTGTCTTGTGTGAAGGACAGGACATTGTCGGTTGTTCTTTTCGAAGTTTCAGCCACTCCCCGCTTCAACTGACACCCTAAACCCTACACCCTAAACCCTAAACCGGTTGGGCGGCTGGGGGTTTGGCAAGTTGGTCGGCCTGGTTAAGGGAAAGCCCTAAACCCCTAAACCCCTAGATTATCCCTGAACCCCTAAACCCCTAAACCCTAAACCCTAAAACCCCCTAAACCCATAAACCCTCCTCCCTAATTCCCCCCCCCCCCCCCCAAAAAAAAAAAAAAAATAAGTGAACACCAAGCCGACAGGTAGAGACGAAATTGCGACCTGGGTGCACAGAGCTGGATGCAGGGTTTAGAGTTTAAACCTTAAACCCTAAACCCCTAAATAGGGTTTAGTAAAGAGCTTGACTTAACATTTCATCGCAATAACTTATATGGTGTTTTTTCGAAAGTTAGGGTACGTACCTTATGTACTGGGGGTCCTTTTCATATGCGAATCCTACTAGCCAACGAGTGGCTGAACCTATACACGCTAAACCAAACAGCCTAAACCCTAAACCCTAAACCCTAAACCCTCCTCAACTCTCGAAACCTTGGCCCCAAGAGCCCAAAAACCGAAACCCCACGATCCTACGCCGAGCTAGGTCTACTACCCTAAGACCCTACCCTAAGACCTTACCTACTAGCCTTAAAGGGTCCATGGTCCTAAAGATGGAATACTTGGGCCTTAAAGTACTTGCTATATCGGGTATTTGGGGCCCAAGTATATAATTATTAGGTACATGGACCCTTAGGGTAGTAGAGTTATCCTCTAACCCTTTTGGGGTACTAGAATCCCCTTAAAGCCCCAAAGGTTAACCTTGAGTTACTGGACAACTAAGCTTATGACCCAAAGACCCTCAACCCTGTAGAGGAACAAGGAGTCCAGTGAGCTGCACGTGCCCTAAATCCGAAAACCCAAACCCCAAACCCCAAACCCCAAACCCCAAACCCCAAACCCCAAACCCCAAACCCCAAACCCCAAACCCTAAACCCTAAACCCTAAACCCTAAACCCTAAACCCTAAACCCTAAACCCTAAACCCTAAACCCTAAACCCTGACCTCGAAATCCCAAAGCCTACGTGCTGCGGAATTCCTCACGCCCAGGGTTCAAGGCATCTGGGCCGTAAACCCCTAACCCCCAACCCCTAAGCCCCAGTTTAGGGTTTAGGGTTTAGGGTTTAGGGTATCTAGATGTAATCCCCACAAAGAGCCTCAACCCCAAGCCCCAAGGTGCGAGAGCGAAGAGGCCTTGGCGTCTCCGGACGGGCATCCGGGGCTGTCTTTGGGGGATTTAGGGTTTAGGGTTTGGGGTTTGGGGTGTAGGGTGTAGGGTTTAGGGTTTAGGGTTTAGGTTTTAGGGTTTAGGGTTCAACAATCGCCTTCAACTTCGGCACTAAATCCCATTAAACCCTGTAGTTAGGGTTTGGGACTGGTGTTGTCAGGTGTCCCAATGCTAGGACCTGCGTATTGATTTTTGCGTCCTTGTTGCGGAGAGCTCCTATGACCCTCGAGCCAAAGCCACTCCACGCCCTAAGCCCTCTGGGTAAGTTCAAGGGTTTGGAGGGGGGGGGGCGGGGGTGGGGCGGGGGGCTGTAGTTGATACCTTAGAGTTTACTTAGTACGTAGCTGAGTGAGTACACTTTACATCTTTGGGGATACTAGATTCCTCTATAGAACTGAAAGTGTACACCTGTTGGGGGCTTATGAACTTTGCAACTGAGTGCAGTGTTTAGTGTTTCGTGTTTGGGGGGTTTAGGGCAACAGCCTTCGCCGGTTTGGAGAGAGGACTACGACGCCGAACTGTGCGTTGAACCCTGGACGCCTCCTGGCCCTGCTGGCCTTGAGAACCCTAAAGCCCTATATAGATGAAACCTTCATCCTAGGTAGGATACGGGGGGCCCTTGACAGGAAACCCTTCTTAACCCTCTTCTGGGTCTCTTAGAGAGGGACCTTAATTCAGAGGGCCTATATCCGCAAGGGTCCTCCTAATCCTATCCCTTACATAAGGGGAAAGAGGCTCTAATCTCATTCCCCCATATATACTATATAAGCCTATATATATATAATATACATATATGTATATATATATATATAATACCCTCTTTAAAGGGATTATATAGGGCCCCTGCATTCCCTCATTCCCTCCTTTAACCTTTTGGATGTATATATATATATGTATACATATGTATATAAACCTATTACAATGAAAAGGTAAACCTATTTTGGGCTAGAGTATTCAGCCACTAAGTTGATGAGTGAGCCCTTGATCAGGGTTGAGTGTTTAGAGTTTAGGATTTAGGGTTCCGGGTTTAGGGTTTAGAATGTAGGGTTGGCAAACCGCAAGCCCCTGAACCCGAACCCTAAACCCTAAACCCTAAACCCTAAACCCTATAAACCCTAAACCCTAAACCCTAAACCCTAAACCCTAGAGTTGAGAGGCTTGAAGAGGAGGGCTGAAGATGCTGTGGCGGTGAAGGGCGCTACGAAGGTCTGACTTTCACTGGGTTCAGGGCTTTGTGGTTTGAGGGACTTAGGGTGGTGAGGTTGAGGGCTTAGGTTTTACAGTCTCGAGTTTTGGGTTTAAGGTTTTTTGGTGTGGAGTTGAAGGTTTAGGGTTGAGGGTTTAGGGACACTGAACCTTGACGAGGGCTCCGCTGTTGCCTTGAGCAGCAAAGCCTGTGGCTGCTAGAGAATGAAGGAACTAGGGCCCTATGTATGATATGCCCTTTAAGGGATGATACAGCGTACCGCATTCCCTCATTCCCTACTAAGAACCAGCCAGTAGGGTGCCGAGTCCTCGAGTCCTGAGGTCAGTGGATTCTTTATACTTCGCCATGGTGTCAATGCATCCTGGAGTTGCACAAGAGCAGGGCTGGGGGTGTTTAGGGTTTAGGAATTAGGTTCTTAGGGTTCAGGGTCTTAGGGTTCAGGGTCTTGGGGTTTGGGGTTTGGGGTTGGGGGCTTGGGGTATAAAACAATAAATTTAAATATAAATGAAAATATAGAATTATAAATTCATATTCATATATATATATATATATGCATATGTATGTATAGGTTGGGAACCAACTCCCCCCCCCCCCCCCCCCCCCCCGTGCCCCCACAATATGAAGGATGGAAGGAATAGACGAGTTGTACAGTAAGATCGTGAAAGGACTCTAGCTAGAGTTCCTAAACCCTGTTCAACCCCCCTGAAGTCCTTCTAGTTCCTAAACCTTCCTTACTTCCTGTGCTTGAAGCGTCTGTCCGCTCGTGCTGGCCAAAAATGGGTGTGTTACCCGAAATCTCTTCAACCCCTGCAATTTGGGGAGCCCAGTTTGCAATTAGGGTTATGAGGGCGCTAAATTGGGTTATAAGTCTTACTATTTGAGTGACGGTAACTAAACTTAGTATAGTAAAGGGGCCTCTACTCGTTGTTCAAAATTGGGTTTAGCGTTTAGGGTTTAGGCGGGGGTCCAGGGTTTCGGCCTTTGAAGGGTTCTAGAGGGTAACATCCATCAAATAAATTAATCTTATATGACACGGATCATGCAAGGGATTTGGGAAACAATATTGTATTTGACAAAAATGTTCAATGCATCTAGAGGGTAGTTGTGCAAGATAGCTGTCCCCAACTTCACGAAAAGGGTAGCTCTTTTCAGTATGGATTCCGCATTTCTTGGGCCCTCATCCCAATGGCCCATCCCTGATGATACTTTCGTACCATCAGAAAATGTAAACGGAACCACATTTCCGGGGCTCTAATTAATGATAGCCTAAACTTCTAACACAGAGGGCCCAAATGCCCTAAATTTGCGGTTTCGAGGTCGAAAAAATATTTGGGATTAGGAAGTTTGGGAAGCTGACGCCATACATTTAGGGTACTGGCCCTAAACCCTAAACCCTAAACCCTAAACCCTAAACCCTAAACCCTAAACCCTAAACCCTAAACCCTAACGTACCAATCCTAGGAGCACCGTCGGCTACGGCGACTTTGCGCCGGCCTCGCCTATGTCGAGGGCATTCACCCTCTTCTACATCGTCTACGGGATCACGGTGCGCGGGTTTAGGGTTTAGGGTTTAGGGTTTAGGGTTTAGGGTTTAGGGTTTAGGGTTTAGTGTTTAGGATTGAGGCTGAAGGGTTTTGGGGCTGAAGACCCTACGTTTGTGCCTAGTTTCATAATCCTAAAGTGGTTTTCCGGCCTTGACACCACAAGTCCAGGGTATTTTTCACTCTGGACCCTTTGGGTCAGCCGTCAGCCCGAAACCCTAAACCCTAAACCCTAAACCCTAAACCCTAAACCCTAAACCCTAAACCCTAAACCCTAAACCCTAAACCCTAAACCCTAAACCCTAAACCCTAAACCCTAATCAAGCCCTAAAGCCTAAACCTCGAAACCCTGAACCCCAGATCCTACCTGGAGTCTCCAATGTAGTCCCTTTTTGGGTGAGTTATAGGGGATTTAGGGTTTAGGGTTTAGGGTTTAGGGTGATTCGAATATACTACCCCAAAAAGGTACTACATGGGAGCCTCTAGGTAAACCCCTAAACCCCTAGGCTCTAAACCCGAAGCCCCCCAAACCCCAAGGCCGAACTAAACGCGAAACCCGGAATCTATCTTTGGGTTTACGCTATGCCCTAGAGCCTTTGTACATAGGATCTTTTGGGGCATAGGATTCAGGGTTTAGGGTTTAGGGTTCCTCGGCCCTCATTAAAGGTTTCAAGCCCCGCTATCCGAGCGGCAGTTGACACTTGCACTCTGAGCCGTCAGCTTTGAGACGGGGGGGGATACCTACTTACTCTGTCATTCGACTATACTGTTTACGGACCATGACACTAGACATCCAGTATGAGAAGCTATTGCAATCATAGCCAACGTAACCGCAACTTAGGTAACCATACCCGACAGGTGCCCTTCGCATCTTTGGCATCGCAGTTGGCGACTGCATTGGGCTCAGCGGCTACACCTCTACACCGCAAACCGGTTTGCTATTATATTGCTGCGTTATGTCATTCTAGTACTAAATTGTTTATTATATGTGACGATATCAAAAGAATCAATTTTCTTGCTATATCATCATGTTCTAGCGTCTTACCCGATTACGATAGTCTTCTGCTAGTATTTTAGTAGATCATCATACCAACATGTTCATCTTTATTTTAACATACTATGATCTCTTGCATTACTGGTTAATATGTGTACATCATCAATTCAGTTGTATTCAGTTGTATCAGGAAATCACGATATGATTACGGCACTATATCATCATATCAGTCAACCACTGTATGATTGTACTACTGTGGTATCTGTTTACTTTCTTTTTATTATTATGGTATCTCATTGTATGTTTTACTAATATTTCTTCAATATTGTTTGTATATATATATATATATATTTATTTATTTATTTATTTATTTATTTGTCTTTGTTTCTCTTACATAACAACCTAACGGTTCACCCTCATTTTATGTTTGCGAATACGTTTCATGTTTCTCTTTCTCTGGTGCACGATTTCTGCCCTGGATTTCCAGGCTTGAACCTTCATTAAGTCCTAAGTCCTAAGCCCTACTTGTACCCGATGATCATGGCTTCCCCTCCTACCCCCCTCTACTACCCCCCCCCCCCCCTCCCAGGTAAGGCTAACTAAGGTCATTTAAGGGAGGAACCCAGGGGGGGGTAGTAGCCCTAAACCCTAAACCCTAAACACTAAAAATCAGGGGGAGTAGTAGGGAACCCATGAGACAAGCTTCGAACATCCCGAGGTCATGGACAAGTTGGAGCACAGGTTCCTCCGTTTTCTGGAGGAGAGGGCACCCGGGGCTTGCAGCGTTCGAACGTTCGTTTTAGGGTTTAGGGTTTAGGGTTTAGGGTTTAGGGTTTAGGGTTTAAGGTTCACGGTTTGGTGCAGGGGCTCAGGGGTTGGGAGTATTCCTTGGGGGCTTTCGGTTTTGGGCGTCTAGAATAGACACGCTCTTCACCTGAGGGGATTGTGGGCCCGACAGGTTCAGGTTCAAACGTTTAGGCGTTGCGGAGGGGAGGTGTTCCCCCGCCTTCGTAGTTCCAGGATGGTTCCTCGTCGAGCTTCAGGGTTAAGGTGCTACTGTAGAAGCCCTAAAGAGCCCTGTAGCCTTTATAAGCCCTAAAGGTGCTACTTGTGGGCATGTGCGAGAGTTCATAGGGTTAATTCGGGGCACTGGCGAGGGCCTTATACCCTAAGCCCCAAACCCTAAACCTGCGCTACATGGAACGCTACCCTAAACCTACGCAACATGGAACTCTAGCAAGGGCCTTGTACCCTAAACTCGAAACCTACGCTACATGGAACACTAGTGAGGGCCTTGTGCCCTAAGCCCCAAACCCGCAAGGCCAGGTTGCACCTCCCCCGTCACGTGAGTCTTGAAACGTCTGGAAGGATCATGGGTTTAGGGGCTTAGGGTTTAGGGTTTAGGGTTCAGGGTTTAGGGTTTAGGGGCTTCCCCTAAGGGTCCATGTACCTAAATAGGAAATACTTGGGCCTTAAAGCACCTCCTGAAAAAGGGACTTTTCACCCCAAGTATATAGTAAGGTACATGGACCCTTCGGGTTAGGGGTAGCAGGACTCCCAGTCAAGGGACCCGGAACCCATTTTTTGAAACACACTAACCCCTAAACCCTGAACCCTAAACAGTGCCTTTCTGGAGGGCCCTGCATCTGTGTGCCCAGCTTCCGCCGGAATTGCCTTCGCTTCACAAGAGTGGGGCAACCCTAAACCCTCAACCCTAAACCCTAAACCCTAAACCCTAAACCCTTGGTGTGGTTTATCTCAGAGGTTGAGGGGTTTAGGGTTTAGGGCTCAGGGTTCACGAGGAGCGCGGCTGCCCAGGGCCCTGGGTCCCGACGATTCAGGGTTGAGGATTTAGGGGTTCAGGGTTCAGGGTTCAGGGTTCAGGGTTTAGGGTTTAGGGTTCAGGGTTTAGGGTTTAGGGTTTAGGGTTTATGGTTTAGGGTTTATGTAGGGGTCCAGGGTTTTGGGTTTAGGATTTAGGCTAGGTTGCCTTACTGTATCGACCTGCTGCTTATGCCAGATATGATTTTTAGGGTTTAGGCTTGAGGGTCGAGGGTTGAGGGTTTAGTTGCAGATGTCATGCATCCGCAAGTTTTTCGGGGTGAAACGGGTCTATACCGACCGGAAGAGCTGAACAAAACCTGCCTACGGGGAGCCATCTTTCCAGCATGTCTGCCAAAGATCTGGATGCTCGCTTGAGGTCCTCATCCGAACACAAGGGCTTGTTGAGTGAAAATCTGGAGTATGCCGTATGAAAGAAGAGACCAAACCCACATATGCACACACGATGCTTCCGGGATTCTGAGGTGTTCCGTTCAATGCTTTACAACCTGATGCCTGAACACTTTTTCGTCTAACAAGGTCTCCTTGATTCCTGACAATGCATGGCACATGCGTCCGGCAGCGAAAGAGCACAGCAACAGCAAGCCAAGAACAAGCACCTTTCACCCACAATTTTCGAGCGTAAGTTTTAACCTAGTCTACTATGGCCCGCAACTGGACTTAACAGGAGTCGTAGGGCCGTGTTCAGGCCTTACGATGTGTAGATGCTTGGGAAAGAAGCGAGGATACTTGGGAGTTTCTGAACAGCGCAAACCCCAAACCATGAACAACGCAAACCTTGGACCCTAAACCCTCAACCACTCAAACCTCGCAAGCTCGTCACGCCACATGGCGTTGTTGATCTCGCCCAGCTCGCTTTGGGGGTTAGGATTAATTAGGATCGAGGGGAAACGGGGGTGGGGGTGGGGTAATGCTAGTACTGCTTTGGCCTTCAACGATGACAACGTGAATTCCTTTCACATCCTTGCGGATCAAATTTTGGGTCGCATAGCCTCAAGGCAAAATCGCTGAAGACGCTGCAGGCTTTAAACGCTAAGGCGTAAGCCCCAACCCTAAATCCTAAACCCTAAACCCTAGTAATCCTAAACCCCAGCAGCCCTAAACCCTACAAACCTTACGCCTTCAGCCCACGTTAACGTGCAAGGGCGGTCGCTTCACCAACCTCCGTGGTTGGACCAAGAGCTATGATGTCGGGGAGGACTGAGGGAGATAGCCAACTCTTGGACCCAGAAAAGACCCTGGGGGGGGGGTTTGGGTTAAGGGTTGAGGGTTTAGGGTTTCCAGGACCCGGAGTAGGCACTTCTTCCCATTTGTTTGCTCATTGGTTCCCTTATAGGCCGCTCTAAAGCAGAAAGGGGTGCCTAGCTTACTCTTGGGTCCAGCCGATATAAAGACACACGCACACCCCTAAACCCTAAACCCTCTTTTCTTGCTACAACTGCCTTAAAGATTCAGACCTCAGAGGCATCGAGGGCTGCTAGCATGCGGTATGCTGAGGGTTTAGGGTTTAGGGTTTCGGGTTGAGGGTTTAGGGTTTCGTGTTTACAGGCCTCTAACCCTTCAGGTTGCAGGCCGGGAGCTGTGGGTGCAGGGTTTGCAGCATCGGTTGACGGGATGCACCTGGAAGAAACCCTCTAAGCCCTGCCCCTATGTACTGCACGGGGCATGTTCTTCGGGGGCTTAGTTCTTTTAAAGAAAAGGCAGGCCTCAAGGACCTAGGGCGTAGGGGAGATTTTTGTCCGTAGGGTTGCGAGTAGCCAGCCAGACTAAGTCTTTTTTGAAAGACATGGGTGACAGGTGGTTCACATTTTTCGCGGACTGCAGGTCTGCCAAAAAACCTTCAAAACTGGTGGAGGGGTTATGACTCTCTGAGGTTCAGTGTTTTGAGGTGTTTTGGGGTGTGAGGGGTCTTTCTTTGGTGCAAAAGCAGGGTCCACCACTCCTGAACACTCAGCCCCAAACCCTAAACACTAAACCCTAAACCCTAAACCCTGGGAAGAATTGTCCAGATACTTGGAAGGACTTCCGCCCGGGTTCGCTGGCGGCCGCTGTGCTGACCCAAACCCCGAAACACTGGGCTTAGGGTTTACGGTTTTAGGGTTTAGGGTTTCGGGTTTAGGTATTAAGTTCGATAGCCGGGGCGGGTTTCTCGTGGCCCAATCCTACACCCCTTTATGGGGGGGTTCAGGATTTCGGGGCCTCTCTGGAACCCCATGCTATAGAGGACATGATAGAATAGAGGATATCCATGGGCCCCTTGTTTGCATCAACCTCGTCCCCGCCCCCTTTCCCCCCGCCTGCCTCCCATGATTCTAACCTTTGAGGTTCAGGTTTTTGAGGATTTGAGGTCTAGTTTAATGGTTTAGGGTTTAGGCTTTAGGGTTTAGGGTTTAGGGTTAGTGTAAACCCTCCATCAGAACAGAGCGTGCGGAACTTTTGGTTGAAAGCGGTGGCCCTACTTTTTTGGTTAGGGTAGGTTCTAACTCTCAGCATTTACAAGCCGCACCCTTCCATTCTGTCAGCGTAAGCACACATCACCCCAAGTAGGCCAAACGATACATGCTTTAGGGGCTGCGGAGCATCCCTCATCGGGGCCTGCCGGCACCCAAACTGCGCATATGATATGTCATATGTAGGGTTTAGGGTTTAGGTTTTACTCTGTTAAGGGGCCATGTACCAAAGAAGGAATACTTGCGCCTTGAAGTACTTCCGAGAAAAATAATATTCATCATCACAATAATATAAATAATAACAAGACTAGGGACTTCTTGGAGCTTTCCACTTCGGCGCACCGAACCCTGCAGCAGAAGCTATGGTCGAGAAGCACCCCTACCAGTAGGGGTCCCCCTTACTATGTTCACTTTTGTTAAGGGCATTCTGCCCTAAATAGTAGGACTTATGAGTTCAGGGGTATAAGGAGGTACCCCTAGAAGAAATCTCCAGATACGTGTTCTAAGGTCTCGAGACCCCAAGCCCCAAGCCTGAATTGGGAGCTTCTGTTGTTAATGTCCCCTTGTCATACACAACCCTAAACCGTTAAAGCCCTACATAGAAGAGAACCTCCCTTAACAAAAATGGAAAACCTGGGCTTTGGAGTACTATACTTTAATACGTTTTTTTGGTTTTGGGTTCCCATTATAGCTACTTATTCCTTAAAAAAGTATATACTTTTTTTTCAGGGTCTATTCCAGAGGTAGGAAACGACCCTCCAAGGTGCCTGATGGTGACACCGTGGAGGAAAAAGAGCCTCCGCATGCGTTCGTCTTCTATGCCGCTCTGCTGGATGGTCCTTCTGCCGACATCCACGACTTCTATGCCAAACCAAAACCCGCAACCCCAAACCCCTGAAACCTAAACCGTAGCCCCATGCGCGTCCGCTGCTTCTCCAACATCAGTCGGCAAGCTAGCATACCATATAGAGTATACTATATATAGTTCACGATATCTATATATATATATGTATATACACTTGTATACAGTATACTATATATGTATGTACAAAATCGAGAGAGTATACCATAAAATCATCATATGCTATATATGATATACTATAGAGAGCGGCCTTTTGTGGGAGCCATGCCGGTAGGGTGCCCTCCACTTCTTTGCAGCATCACCGAGGAGGTCTCTGGTCCATCTTGCCGAGATCATGTGATGCTGTCTGGGCGGTTCACATCTAAGGAGCTAGGGTTTAGGGTTTGGGGTCTAGGGTCTCGGGTTTAGGGTTTAGGGTTCATTGGTAGGTTGAGTCCTGGGAGTACGCTCGATGTTCTTTCTTGTTTTGAAAAGGGGTTGGGGGGGGGGGGGGGGGGGGTGGATTTGCACTTGGGTAGGTCTGGGTGAGTGTGAGAGCTACAAGGAGAAGATGAACTATTTCCGGGCGGTTGACCACGAGCTCCAAGTAAGTGGAGTCAAGACCTTTTTGGTGGACACAAAACGTGACTTTGGTGTCGAAGCCATGCGGGGTCTCAACGGAGCGAGGATCATGGTGGCTTTATGCACTTCAACCTATGGCGAAAAGACATCAGGCACCTATGACACATACGCTGAGCTCAAGTATGCAGCAGAGAACCCAGACAAGCTGCACATCATTCCCGTCCAGTTGTGCGTGAAATGGCCGCCTGTGCCTCCGGGGCCACAAGAAGGACGCGACCTTTGCAATTTTGTCTTTGGACAAAGCCGTGTAAGAGTTTATGGCGTTGAGCAGAATCACGAAGGTCAGTACTGCTACAGGGAGCCGAGGGAGATTGCCAAAAAGATTTATCAACACGTCGAAGACTTGGGGCTGCTGACCGTGGTCAAAGTTCCCCTGCCAAGCCGAAAGTTTTGTGGAACTCAGGACACCTCCCAACCTGCAGTCTGGAACACACGTGTGTCCAACGAGAAGCTCTATCTAAATGCGGTGCTGGATGACGGGCACGGCAACAGTGTGGCCTGGCCGTTGGGTGCCATGGACCTGAGCCTGGACTGCCTCGCGAACGGGTGTGCTTATGGTAAAGCTCCAAAGACGTCCACTCCGACAGTTTGGGATCTCAATCCACCTCCTACGGCCTGCGATCCCCACCGACAAGCGGACAAGCCTTTGGGGAAGTGCATGAACCTGCGTGAGCTCTATGCGCTTCGGGCCATGCAGAGGTCTGAGGCGGCAGTCGGCGTAGAGTAGAATTACTTTAGAACTTTATGCTATACCACGCTATACTACACAATAGCATACTGTACTATACCACATGTACTATACCATATGTTTCTTCATTATTTATTTACACTTACCATACATGCTGTATCTGACCGCCTGACTCGTGACCGTGGCGAATGCTCTTGTCAATCACCAGGGCTCCCAGCTTTCCTGGATGTCCGCGCCCGTCGAAGGAACTGGGAAGACGAATGCACAGTGTGCTTTATAGTATCGTGTAAAGTATGCTTTTGCACATGGTATACGACATAGTCCTATATGGTATACTATAGTTTATACTAAATAGAATACCCTAAACCCTAAACCCTAAACCCTAAACCCTAAGCCCTTAATACCGTGCTGAAGAGAATCCGTAGAAGAAGCGGCACATCGAAGGCTCCCCGAAGGGAATGCCTCGCATAGCAGATTGCCTTCAAAGCTTGCATTCACTTTTTCCGCCAGTGTAGCTACCATTTGCTTAAGAACTCCAAAAACTAATAATCCCTATATTGCTCTTCTCAGGAAAATATGTTGTTCTTTTTTTGGGGGGGTTCTTAAGCAAAGAGTAGGTAGAGTTAGGAATTTTCAGCTGTGGCCCTGAGGGTTGATTGCATGATGTCTGATCTGCCCGACACCCGTGGCCCACAGATTCTGGCAAGGGGCTGGGAAAAGCCACTGCCCGTTGAATTCTCTGACTCTGACTTGGTATAGTGTACGATATGCTGCATAATACACTGTTCTGTATAGTTTGCTGTTCTGCTTTGTATATATATATATATATAACGAGCACTCAGCTTGGGTTCTGACGTCCCTCAGCAGGTTTGTCTAGGGGGTACAAAGGAGAACTCTATACACGAACAGCTACTCCCTATGGTTTAGGGTTCAGAGCGTCGAATCCCCCCTGAACTGTGTAGTATAGTACCGTGCAGTACAGCATGCGCGAGTTCCCAAACCCTCCACCCCATCATAAAGGAGCCCTGGCGACTGGGGGGGGAAGGGAGGGGGTTAGGGTAGTATGCTATACGTGAGGCGGGACCTCTCTTTTTCCTAGCTTTGTAGCAGGGCAACCTTACCTGAGGGTCTTGGGGCCTTCAAGAGGGACAGGTATTTGGGGTTTAGGGTTGAGGGTTGAGCGTTTTGGTTCCCGCCCCCCTCGCCCCGAAACTCGGGAGGACCCCCGCACCCCAAAGCCCAAGCTCTTGGGCTCGGTACTATGACTATGAACTTGAGTCCCTGTGAAGTTATCAGAAAGTCTGGTCATGAGTGCCTTATTCCTCACCCTCCATGTGGGGCTGTTTTCATTTTCTGGCAACCCGGTCTCTTTGTTGGCTTGGTGACTGCCAGGCACTCTAGCATCGGCTGGGATGGAAGAAAATAGTCTAAAGCTCCACGTACGTTTGCGTGTTTCAGGTTGCCTCCCCTAAACCCTAAACCCTAAACCCTAAACCCTAAACCCTAAACCCTAAACCCTAAACCCTAAACCCTAAACCCTAAACCCTAAACCCTAAACCCTAAACCCTAACCCTAAACCCTAAACCCTAAACCCTAAACCCTCCCGCCACCCCACTCTCTTGTCTTTTGGGGTAGGCGGGCGCTGGTCGAGCGCTCAGTGAGACCCTGCGAGGGAGCCCCGGGCGGGCGACCGAGCTGGCCTCCAGGCTGGCTTACCTTCCAGGCAGGCACAGGCCGAGCAGTTGTCACTATTTTTTTACATTGCCCTAAACCCCAAACTATCCGCGCCCTAAACCCTAAACCCTAAACCCTAAACCCTAAACCCTAAACCCTAAACCCTAAACCCTAAACCCTAAACCCTAAACCCTAAACCCTAAACCCTAAACCCTAAACCCTAAACCCTAAACCCTAAACCCTAAACCCTAACCCTCATTAACTTATAGCATGAACCTTCAAGATTCAAGCGTTTTCAGACTGGGTATTGCTTGCATGCTGGTATACTTGCAGCCCTAGGCGAGCGCGGAGCCCCAGATAGCTCATTCAACCCGGTAACGTGAGCCTACCGCCCCAAACCCTTATTTTAAGTTTCTCGGGCCCAAAGCCCTTATCGTAAAAAGGTTTTTCGACATTTTGAGCCTAAGGGCACAGCCCTAAACCCGAAACCCGAAACCCTAAACCTGAAGCTTAGGCATGCAACCTCTTCATTCCCATCCTGCTTTTCACCACCTGGCAGCAGCTCGCCTTTAGGGTTTAGGGTTTAGGGTTTAGGGTTTAGGGTTTAGGGTTTAGGGTTTAGGGTTAGGGGTTTAGGGTTTAGGGTTTAGGGTGTAGGGCTTGAGCACGGGTGCACTTCTTGGAGTTCAGGGGCTATGAATTCCCAAGCCCGAAACTTCAAGCCCGTTTAGGGTTCAGGGTTCCTAAACCCCAAACCCTAGACCCTATACCCCCAAGCGTGAGACTAGGATTCAGGGTTCCTCCTAAACCCTAAACCCCTAAACCTGGGATGCTCCCGCTTATACCAACACTCCTTAGTAGGGATGATAGGACCCCCTACGAGAATCCCGATTAAGGACCGTTAGTATGAGGGAACATCCCTAAACCCTGAACCGCAAAGACTGGGAGCTGGCCATACGGCTTGCGGCTTCGCACGGGCTTAGGGTTTAGGGTTTAGGGTTTAGGGTTTAGGGTTTAGGGTTTAGGGTTTAGGGTTTAGGGTTTAGGGTTTAGGGTTTCCATCAAAAAAGCCCGGGAACCCTAAACCCTAAACCCTAAACCCTAAACCCTAAACCCTAAACCCTAAACCCTAAACCCTAAACCCTAAACCCTAAACCCTACTGTGTGGCCTAGTTACCATGCCAGGCTCTTGTGTGCGACCGTTTTCGTCGCCCTGCAGGACATGTCGTTTCTTCTGGCGCCGGCCTTGGGACGAAGGGGCAGTCTGGCCCATAAAGGGGGTTTAGGGTTTAGGGTTTAGGGTTTAGGGTGGTTTAGGGTTGTTTAGGGTTTATTAGGGTTTAGGGTGCAGGGTTTAGGGTTTAGTGGTATTTTCCGTGTTTTGTTCTCTAGTTTCTGGCTACAGTTTACAAGGTTCAGGGTTCAATGTTTGGCTAGATAGAGCCCATAAGGATTTCTGCAGTTTTTTTGCCAGAGTTTATAGGGCTGTTTCGGGCACAGAGCTCGCAAGGTCTTGTTTTAGTCACCGTTTTCTGCGTCAGAGTTTATATGGCTTAGGGTTTAGGATGTAGTGCCCATACCGTAGCTAGGATTCTGTGTTCAGGGTTTGCCGGTTTTTTGAGTTTTTTCGAGTTTATGGGCATGTGGGGGGGGGTTAGAGTTCTCAGAAGTTTGTTGAGCTGCTTACGGTTGTGTGTGCACACATTGATGTATACATATATACATATACATACGCGCATACATGATATGTATGCAGGTTCCTGAAACAGGGTTCCTGTTGGGGTCCTACACTCGAGGATTGAGGATTCAAGGGTACCCTTTTCTGTTTAAACCCTAAACCCTAGAAATAAACCCTGAAACCCCAAAACCCTACACCCTACACCCTAAAGGGGGGCTTCCTGCCGTGACGCCTCCATTCACGAGGAAAGGTTCTTCAGCACAGCAGACCGTTCTTGAATTGAATGTACTTGTTCGTGGTTTAGGGTTTAGGGTTTAGGGTTTAGGGTTTAGGGTTTAGGGTTTAGGGTTTAGGGTTTAGGGTTCAGGGTTCAGGGTTTAGGGTTCAGGGTTTAGGGTATAGGGCTTAGGATGTGTTTTGTTGGCTCTCATGTAAAAAGAAGTACAGAACTGACAGGGGCCTGAAGCCATCATCGCTAAAGATGTCACCCCTGCCCGAGCAAAACGACGGCCCAAACCTCTTCATAACACCAATCCCTAAACCTTAAACCCTAAACCCTATACTCGTGGCCACCGAAGCTCCACGGATTGTTTGGGGTTGAAGGTTTGGGGTGGCTTTCAGAGGGTCTGGACTTCGAACTGCATGGCTCGTAGTGTGCCCGTAGTACTAAGTAGTACTCTGCTGCACACAGGTGCCCAAAAAGCCCTTGTTACAGTTTCTGGGTACCTGGTTCCGTTACTAGCAACAAGTGGACCCCCTAAACCCGAAACCCTAAACCCTAAACCCTAAACCCTCTGGGTAAGAGGCCTTGTACCACTGCGTGGTGACTGCTACGACCGTGGGCTATGGCGACATCCCCATCGCCAAGGACTCCTCAAAGAATGACAGAAGGGCGCTTCCGGACTTTGTAAGCTCCTAACCATGGGTTTAGGGTGTTAATTGAGGGTTTGGGCTTGAGGGTTTGAGGTTTAGGGCTTTAGGTGCTTCAGGAGGTGAACGGCCCAGAGCACCACATCCCCCTGTAGCTGAACGTAGTACCTAGCGGTGCTTCAGTGGGAGTGAAGGTGACATAGCCTGGATGAGCCCCATCCACACGAACTATACAGTACCCAAGTGCATTGCTGGTAGTTATATAGGTTTTTTTCTGGTGGCCCTCTCCTGTAATCAGGAGTATTTCTTACGGAGGTGCATGTTTTTTGTGTTTTCGATTAAACAGGTAGATAAGCTCACTATTTCCCATCAATATACATGGATAAATAGAGGAGAAAATATAGAGGTTTCCCCATGTAAGAATAGAGAAAGCAAACGTCTTCCAAAGTAAATATAGAAATACAGAGAACTTGAAAGTAGAGGTTTTTCTAGGTAGATATAGAGAATATAGAGTTTTTCCAATGGAAAGAAATGTAGTGCTATTGGATGTTTCCTTTAGAAAAGTAGAAAATTGAGGTTTGCCAATAAAACATGGAGAGAAAATTGAGAATCTTGTAGCAAATTCTAGCGCAAGCCCTAAAGCCTATTTACACAAAAAAGCAAAATCCCAACTAAATTCCAGACCCATTTCACTAACCCCCCCCCCCCTCCCCACCCCCAGGCCTTCCGAACCCTGGGTTCAAGTTCCTCAGCCCCTGAAAAGTTTCGAAGCGCTGTAAACTCCTAACCCTATCTGAAGTTTAGGGTTTAGGGTTTAGGGTTTAGGGAGAAAGCTGCAATGTCGTCCCTTTTGGGGTTCACGATGGTTTGTCGAAACAAGGAGTGCATAGCCTAAGCCTTGAGATTGGGGGGGGGGGTGTAGGCGATAGGGTGTAAGGTTCAGCTCCTGGGTTGTTTGGGGTTTGAGGACTAGGGCTTAGGGTTGGGGTTTGGGCTAAAAACTCCCAATTCGCGAACTTCCCAAAGCCGGCACAAGTAGGGGCCCCCTTCCCATACTAGCTTTAGTTAAGGGACGTGTATCCTGAAGAGTAGGGCTTCCCACTCAGTTAAGCACCCTTAGAACCCCATTGTTAACCTACATGTAGGGTTTCACGCCTCTAGGTAAACCCAGAGCCTAAAACTCTAAACCCCAAAAATCCTAAACCCTAAACCCTAAACCCTAAAACCTAAACCCTAAACCCTAAACCCTAAACCCTTAACCCTAAACCCTAAACCCTAAACCCTAAACCCTAAACCCTAAACCCTAAACCCTAAACCCTAAACCCTAAACCCTAAACCCTAAACCCAACAAACCTAAGCCCTTATCCCCCTTACTGGAGAGAGAAAGCGAGAGAGGACTCGAGGTTCTTCGCTGTGGTCCATGTGGCGGCCCTTTTCTTAGAGAAGGGCCTTCTAGTGATTGGGTTTAGGGTTTAGGGTTTAGGGTTTAGGGTTTAGGGTTTAGGGTTTAGGGTTTAGGGTTTAGGGTTTAGGGTTTAGGGTTTAGGGTTTAGGGGTTAGGGGTTTAGGGTTTAGGGTTTAGGGGTTAGGGTTTAGGGGTCAGGGGTTTAGGGGTTTAGGGGTTTAGGGGTTTAGGGTTTAGGGTTTAGGGTTTAGGGTTTAGGGTTTAGGGTTCAGGGTTCAGGGTTCAGGGTTCAGGGTTTTGGGTTTTGGGTTTTGGGTTTAGGTGCACGAATGAGATCACTTACAGGCATGTGTTGTTCATTTGGGGTTGCACTAGGTCCACTAGCTTTAGGACCCAGTTCATGAGATGTTTTTGGCCTGGCGTCCCGTCTGTTTTGGACTCGTAGACCCTAGACCCTAAACCCTAAACCCTGAACCCTAAACCCTAAACCCTAAACCGTAAACCTGGATAATAGGAGGGAGCCTGACAAGGGACCTTGAGCTCGACTACCCAATACGCAGCCCTTCCGCAGGTGTAGGGTTTAGGGTTCAGGGTCGCCTCTAACTGGAGGATCCAAAAGGTAGAACCCCAATACGCCAGGGTTTAGGGTTTAGGGTTTAGGGTTTAGGCTTTAGGGTACCCTATACTACCATCGGATCATTCTTAGTAACCCTGCTGGGGATCTACTATTAAATTTGGATCCTCCCAGGGGTCTGGGTGTAAGGTCCCTCCTTCGTCCGCTCAGCTTGGGGTGTGCTGCTTGCAGCCGCTACCGGGTTTGGACGTCTTGCCTTGGTGGGTATTTACGGGCTCAATCTCTGTCATGTGCAAGGAGGTTTCGTGGTTGTGGTCTTTTCTGCAGACCTAATGAAACCGTAAAGCTCTCCAGCCCCCAAATCCCTAAACCCTAAACCCTAAACCCTAAACCCTAAGCCCCAAACCCGAAACCCTAAACCCTAAACCCATACAAAGCCCGAACTGCACAGTGCCCTAGTGCAAGGTCAGCGCAGCTCGGCTGATCTGAGAACTGGGCGCTTCAGGGTTAAGGGCTTTAGGCTTCAGGGTTTAGGGTTTAGGGTTTATGCGGTCTGTGTTTTGTTGTACAACACAAAACCCGTTCCGTAGAATCTTAGTAGTAGAGTAGGTAACCTTTAACCTTTTTGGGTTCATATATTCCCCTTATACTCCCAAAGGTTCACCTTTAAAACCCCTAGGTACTGGACAACTAAGGAATTCAGGCTGCCCCTGTTTACGTAGGGGTTGCCTGCAGAGGGGATTGCTGCATTTTGGGGTACATTGGTGGGGGAGGATCCAATTTGGAAAGTTATCAACTCTAAACGCTAAACCGACCCTAAACCCTACACCCCAAACCCTAAACCCTAAACCGGCAGAGCTGTTTTTTTTTGCGGATTTGTAAGGGCTGAGGAATGTGTCAGACGAGCAGCCTGCTTTTCTGGGCGGGGTCGGTCGAGAAATTTTGCGAACCCTTCAGGGTTTATAGGGTTTATAGGGGTTATAGGGCTCAGAGGGTTTAGAGGGCTTAGATGGTTTAGAGGGCATAGAGGGTTTAGAGGGTTTATAGGGTTTAGAGGGCTTAGAGTGTTTAGAGGGTTTATAGGGTTTGTAGGATTTAGAGGGTTTACAGCGTTTATAGGGTTACAACTTAGACCCTGTTCTAGAGCTGCTACGTTTTGGGCCTTGAGTGGGCGAGCGGTGTGCTGTGTTTTGTTTGGGCCTGCCGCCTTAACCATACAATTTGTGCCTAAAGCTTTGTGGGGGCTCTCTGTGGGGCAGAAATTTTGTAGGTACCCTAGAGTCTCGAAAATCCCCATACAATGGACACCTAAATCCTAAACCTGGCTGCGGCGGCGGCGGCTGCGGCTGCTGGTGCTGGTGCTGGTGCGGGTGCGGGTGCGGGTGCGGGTGCGGGTGCGGGTGCGGGTGCGGGTGCGGGTGCGGGTGCGGGTGCTGCTGCAGCAGCTGCTGCTGCTGCTGCTGCTGCTGCTGCTGCTGCTGCTGCTGCTGCATCCTTTTTTTTTCTCTTCCCCTACCCTCAACCCTAAACCCTGAACCCTAACCCCTACACCTTTGCCCCAACCAAAAGTTAATGTACTTTGCGAGGTCGCTTGACTTAAATCCTATAAGGCCTTCGGCTCAAAAACTACCCCCAAAACCCTTACAAGTATGCGGCCTTCGGGCCCCCAACGCTCACCCGTAAACCCTAAACCCCGCTAAACCCCTAAACTCCGATAAGCATTACCTGAAGGCTCTAATGTAGTTCCTTTTTGGGGCTTGTTATAGGGGACTCTAGTATACTACCACATATGGGTGCTTCATAGGAGCCTTTGGGTGGCATGGACGTGCACTGCGCACGCTAGACGAACCTTGTCGCAAGCTTTGTCCGCAAGTGTAAAGTGCTCTCTACATTCGATCGAATTTACGTTGCCTACTATGGAGAGCACAAGGGATGCGCGCCAGGGAAATGCTGAACCCTAAATTCCTTGCACTCTCAATATCGAAACTCAACACCCTTGCACTCTCAAGGCACTCTATACGTGTGTGTCGGTAACCCCTACCCAGAGGCTCCTTTGTGGTACCTTTTTGGGGTGCCATACTGGAGTCCCCTATAACTAACCCCACACAAGGAACTACACTAGAGCCTTCAGGTAAACCCTAAACCCTAAACCCTAAACCCTAAACCCTAAACCCTAAACCCTAAACCCTAAACCCTAAACCCTAAACCCTAAACCCTAAACCCTAAACCCTAGACAAACACCCCGCCATCTGAGGTAGCCTTGCTGGGGTCCTGCGTCGCGGAAATCCCAACGCTCATGGACATCCGACGCGGCTCGGCGGATGTTGTCCTGCAGCCTGAGGGGTTTAGGGTTTAGGGTTGAGGGTTGAGGGTTGAGGGTTTAGGGTTTAGGGTTTAGGGCCTAGGGTTTAGGGGAGGGTTCAGCGCTTAGGGTTGAAGATGACAAGCACAAGCACGACATCCCAAGCCCCAAACCCTCCCCAAAGGACGCTGCAAGGCCATGTCAAGCACCAAACCCTCCCCAAAGACACCGCAAGGCCATGTTGGTCTGTGCTGCAGTCTGCCTCGGAGGTAGAAAGACCTCTAAGGGAGCTCAAAGGGTTTACGGACTCACGGCCCTGGAGCCGAACCCTCTCTCAACCACTACACCCCTCAACTCAACACCCCAACCCTAGGGCTCCAAGGACTCTTACTTTGAGTTTACAGGGCCCAAAGGCCTTGTTACAAAGGTTTTTTTTGGGGCTCTTTTGAGCCTAAGGGTAGCACAAACTCATCCCCAAACCCCGGCACCCCTAAACCCAATACCCCTTAAACTTAAGCCACTAAACCCCTACACCCCTACTTCCAACAAGCCCTTGGGCCAAGAGCAAATCCAACCCTAATCCCTAAACCCTAATCCCTAAACCTACACCCTACACCCTGAACCCTAAACCCTAAAACCTAAACCCTAAACCCTAACCCCTCCCCGCCCTCCAAGTGTCCTCCAGCACCTAGGGGCTCCGAATTTTAACAGCCCCAGGTGCCCAAAACTCCATACTGAGTAGGGCTTTTTAGGCCCAGTAGCCCTAAACCCTAAACCGCCTAAACACCAAACCCTGAACCCAAAACCCTAAACCCTAAACCCTAAACCCTAAACCCTAAACCCTAAACCCTAAACCCTAAACCCTAAACCCTCACCCCTGCACCCTCAACTCCGACGAGCGGACGGAAAAACCGTGGAATCTTAGGGGGTTCTGAGGCGTGCAGACGCGGCAATCTGCCATCCTCAAGAGGAAGCTGGACGCGGTACCCCGGCAAGAGGGTTTAGGGTTTAGGGTTTAGGGTTTAGGGTTTAGGGTTTAGGGTTTAGGGTTTAGGGTTTAGGGTTTAGGGTTTCGGGAGCAGAGTTTTTTGGGATTTAGGCTCCGGCAGGGGAGATTTTTGGGAGTTGGGCTCTGAGGCTGACACATTTTCAACTGTCGGGTCGGTTGGTGTAAGGTTTAGGGTTTAGGGTTTAGGGTTTAGGGTTTAGGGTTTAGGGTTTAGGGTTTAGGGTTTAGGGTTTAGTGTTTAATTGGGGATAGGGTCTAGGGTCTATAGGGCTCAGGGCTCAGGCCTTAAAACCCTGAATCCTATTCCGCTCAACTGCCCCCAAACTCCCAACTCCAAACCTAAACCCCTCAAAACCCTTCCTAAACCCTAAACCCTAAATCCCGCGAGCCGCACAAGCGCCACTCTCCATTTCCATCTATAGCAGAATGGCTCTGTGGGGGACATTTTTTGCAATCCAAACTCTTTCCATGGAAGTAGTTGCTAGTAATGAAAGGAAAATGACATTTTTGGGAATTCCTGAAAGGCTAATTCGAAGACAGAAAATGTAGAGTAAGCATATGAACAAAGTTAAGAACAAAGAAATCAAATAAAAGACAATTAACCTCGGCTCTTCTTTCCCACATCCAGACGAGTAGCACTAAGCCCACTTGCACCCAATTTGCTTGCCGCCATTCCAAGGACATGATCTTGGCCCTGGATAGGCGGGACCCGAAGCCTAAGCGATGGGTTTAGGGTTAGGGTTTTGGAGGTTGTTACCGCATCCCATGGACGGCATGAATGCGGCCTGGGCGTTTAGGGTTGCATGACCAGACATGTGAATGTATTTAGGGTTTAGGGTTTAGGGAATTCACCCCCCAAGAAATCGAATTTCACTTGGAACGTGCGTGGCTTTGCCCAGCACCTGAGGGTCCATGTACCTCAGTGCTATATACTTGGGCCCCTAAACCCTAAACCCTAAACACTAATCCCTACATTCTAGAAGGTATGTTAAGGCCCAAGTATTCCCTGTTGAGGTACAAGGGTGGCTGTCAAAACTATCATCCCTTTTGGGGTACCCCAAAATATTTCGTGCCGTAGTATAATGGGGACCCCTTTGGGGACCATCCCAATGGGCCCATGTGCCTATATTACTATATACTTGGGCCTTAAAGGGGTTCCCATATAGTAGCTTAAGGGCCCAAGTATATGCTATAAGGGCACATGGACCCTTAGGGCAGAATGTTCACAACCACGTGGACACTTCGGGTCAAGGCCTTGTAAACTTAGTAGTAGAGTAGGCAGCCTTTAACCTTTTTTGGGTTCATATATTCCCTTAGAATCCCAAAGGTTAACCTTTACAACCCCTAGGTACTGGACAACTAAGCAAACATTGTGCGATGCGCGGCGAGGAACGGCGATGGCGTGGACAAGCTCGAGTTCTGCATCGGCATCCTGATCGAGCCCCCTGGGGCTGAAGGTGTAGGGTTTAGGGTTTAGGGTTTAGGGTGTAGGGTGTAGGGTGTAGGGTGTAGGGTGTAGGGTTTTGGGCTCAGGGTTGTCTGAGCGGCACTTCTGGGTTTTGGGGGTTTGGATCTTTGGGGTTGCTTACTTGTCCGATCTCTTAGAACCTTTCCGAATAGCATGCGAATGGGCAAGCTGAAATCGAGACTACACGAAGATCCTCTGAATTTCTGCCGTGCACCACCCCTACCCTCAGGCCATAAGGCCCAAAATATACAGTGTCCTAAACCTATAGTAGTAGAGAAGGTAACCTCTAACCTTTTTAGGGTAGTATAATCCCCTTCTAATCCCAAAGGTTAACCTTTGATTCCCCAAGGTTACTGAACAAGTCAGTAAATGCTAAACCCTTAGGTGTCTGGGTAGCCCTAAACCCTAAACCCTAAACCCTAAACCCTAAACCCTAAACCCTAAACCCTAAACCCTAAACCCTATAGACCCTTGGGATGCTTCCCCTCGCAACCCACGAATCTGTAGATCTTTGCCTCCCTGAGCTGAGAACTCCCGGCGGCACTTAACCCCGGCACCCTATGTTTAGGGTTTAGGGTTTAGGGTTTAGGGTTTAGGGTTTAGGGTTTAGGGTTTAGGGTTTAGGGATAGCCGTAGACCTCTGGGGCCCAATGGTTGCAGTGGCGCGTGTCCGCTCGTTGAGGTTTGATATGTCAACCAAGTTCGCTCTGACTCCTGAAAGCTAGGCTCAAAAATCCCTCAAGCCAAAATCTCAGGAACCATGGCCCCTTAGTATGGTCCATTACCCTACAGGGATCCGAAGTGTGGGCCCGTATTCTATATTGTGTATATAAGGGTAATATAACAAGGGACCCAAGTTAAGGACCGATACTTGAAACCCTACACTTTACAGTAAGGGAAGTTACATGGTACCTCAATGTGGCCCCTTACCTTCATCAAAGTGTTCTGAAGTACAGGCCCTTGGGTTGTATAGGCTTGACAAGGCCATGTAAGGAGCCCCCAATTCAGGATCTATAGTAAGGGACCATGTAAACCCTAAACCCCAAACCCTAAACCCCAAACCCCAAACCCCAAACCCTAAACCCTAAACCCTAAACCCTAAACCCTAAACCCTAAACCCTAAACCCTAAACCCTAAACCCTAAACCCTAAACCCTAAACCCTAAACCCTAAACCCTAAACCCTAAACTGAAAGAACTCCGCGATAAAGCCCTCAAGCCTACATTTCTGCAAGCAGCTGTGCCACAAGTGCCTAGGATCGGCGCGGAGCTTGCTGGCTTGCCTCTTGAGTTCCTCAGCTTTCATCGTTTTAGGGTTTAGGGTTTTAAGGTTTAGGGCTTCAGGGTTTTGGGGTTTGGGGGGGGGGGTTTAAGTTTTCCCCAAACCCTAAATCCTAAACTCTAAACCCTAAACCCTAAAGTTCACGGGCCCGAGCCCTCATGATTCAGGGTTTATGTATGGATTAGGTCGCCTGAACCCTGCCTGGAGCCCCGAAGTATGTAAAAAAGGCCCAAAACCCATAACAAAGGACCAACATTTTACACTCTGGGGGGTTCAGGTAGATCCTAACCCCCGAAAAAATATGCGTGCGTTTAGATCTATAGGGTGCAGCATATCAGTGTTCAGGCTATAAAATGCATTGAACAAGGGGCGCGCTCCACCTCGGTCAGGCCAGCAATGCAAGACGCCCAATCCTAAACCCTAAGCCCCTAACATGACTTGCTGTAGACTTCCCCCTGAACCCCAAACCCTAAACACCAAAAACACAACCGGAGACTTGCCGAACAAGCGACACGAATAAAGCGACAATGCCCTCAACTGCTGCCACCCTCGAGAACCCAACGCCCACTGGTTTGTAGGTTCCTATCATAAAGCTCCTTCAGTTACGTTTCTTAGGCAACCTTCAAAAACGTAGGTTGCCCTATGCCCTGAACAGCCTTCAGACAGGGCCCCACGCCCTAGCACTAAACCTGGACTCTAAACCCTAAGGGTTCTCGGCATGCAGACTTGATGTCGACAGGGTTAAGGGTTAAAGGTTTAGGGTTTAGGTTTTAGGGTTTAGGGTTTAGGGTTTAGGGTTTAGGGTTTAGGGCTACAGGGTTCAGGCCCCGTCTGCCCCGGCGCGTCATGCAGTCTGGAGTTTCGGGCTCAGGGTCCCGCTAAAGCCGACCTCCACTCATGACCCGAAGGATCCTAAGTACCGATATGGGACACTTGCCCAAACCATAATCGTAATTCCTATTGTAGAAACCCTACTTTCTACTATGTAGCTACTTAGGACCCTTTGGGTGATGTCAGAACCTAGGACCCAGAGCAGGCCCTTATTCCCCTTTTTGTTTAAAAGGTTCAGGTTTCCTTATGAGACCCTTGAAACACCAAAACAGGGTACCCTGTTCATTCCTTAGGTTACTCCTTGGTCTAGGGAGTGAGAGGTGGGAAGATATTGCGCCCTTCATCAAGCAGTTCGAGCAACTCGACCTTGCTCAGTGGCGGGGAGGGCGAAGGGCTTGAGGTTTAGAGTTTGTTTTTTTTGGGGGGGGGGGGGGGTTCTGAGTCTCTAAAGTTTCAAGCTCCTACACCCTAAACCCCATGAAGCCCTCAACCCTGTAAGTCAGAAATCCTGTGAGGGAGTGAAAACCCGAGCCTTTTCAGCCCAGTTCGGGTTTGGGGTTTGTGGTTTAAGTGCTGGGGTTTGGGTTTCGGGCTTCGTTCCGAAAACCAGAGCTTTTGGGGGGCATGGTGGACAGTGGCTGATTTTGTTACCCCTTAGCACTGGACCCAAAGACCAAACCTTCAACCGAAACCTTAACCCTAAGCCCTGAGCCCGAAACCCTAAACCCTAAATAAGCCCTAACCCCTATCCCCTAAAAACCCCAGACCCCAGACCCCAGACCCCAGACCCTACACCCCAAACCCCACACCCCCAAACCCCAAACCCCAAACACCAAACCCCAAACCCCAAACCCCAAACCCCAAACCCCAAATCAAAACAAGGGACTTCGATGTGGACCACTCCGGCCACCTGTCCAAAGAGGCTCACAGTGGCGGGGGGAAGCAGGGTTTAGGGAAGTTTTGTGTGTTTAGTGTTGAGGGTCTCCAAAAGGTTAATTCATAGGAGCCAGAGCAGTGTCTTCCTCAATAGGGATTGGCTTAGGGGATTGGCGCTTTCTAGTAGCTCCACTTGGAGGTTCAGGGTACTTATGAACCAAGTATAACTGTACTTATGACTGTACTGATCTGGTAAGCATATTAGGGCACTCAAGGGGCTTGTAAGTAGGCTATAAGTACAGTTCTAATTAATATCCCGATCGGGTGTCTCGATCATTCGCCATCGCGTGCAAGTTTCCAGTTCAATGCCGTTGCCGATGTCACTGGGCTCAGGGTTTAGGGTTTAGGGTTAAGGTTTAGGGTTTAGGGCTCAGGGAAGTCTGCGGATGGCCGAAGGGCTCTTCATAGCCAGAAACCCCAAACCCTAAACCCTGTACCCAGAACCCCCCCCATAAACCCTAACTCCTAAACCTTAAACGGTTTAGGGTTTAGGGTTTAGGGTTTAGGGTTTAGGGTTTAGGGTTTAAAGGTTGCTTCAAACCCAAGCCTTGCAGCTGCACCAGCGACAAGCTGCAGAGTCCAGGATTCTCAGGTCACAGAGAGTTGGCATATGGGTTTAGGGTTTAGGGTTTAGGGTTTAGGGTTTAGGGTTTAGGGTTTAGGGTTTAGGGTTACTTCTCCAAACTACGGTCGCTCTTAGTAGTAGAGTAGGTAACCTTTAACCTTTTTTGGGTTCATATTTTCCCCTTATAATCCAAAAGGTTAACCTTTAAAACCCCTAGGTACTGGACAACTAAGCACTTTTGGGGTCCTTATTTTTGTCTGAGGCGGCCTCTCTTATGTAGGGTTCCCACGCAGGGATGACATGATATGTTGGAGAACTGACCATATCCCGATGAAGACATGTAGAGTAAGTTTCCTAAAGGAAAGCAATCCCAATTTGCCCTAAGCCATTCATATCTATGATCCGCACTTTGCGGCGACTCCCAATTTGCTTTCGGGTCCCCACCGCTGAGTCTCTTTATTGCGACTTATCACCATTCTATTGCTCTAAATCCCCATGACATTTACGATAATTGCGATGATTCTTCCTACGAGTATTCCGATTATTCGTAATCTGATTGTGCCGACCAGTAATGTTGATTCATTCTCACTTTAACTTTTTCTAGCATTGCTATCATTAGACTGCTATCAGATCTGGCATATTTCCTTTTCCTACTATTACGATTATTAGAGTCATAACTATTCCTGTTATTTCAATTATTACTATTGTTACTGGCAAATATAGCGAGTACTAGTATTACTATTGCAAACATACTAGCATTACCATCAGTTTTTATTCTTCCATGGAATGCTATTTCTTTCCTCCTTACTATCTACCATTGCTATTCGCATTTTGGTTGAATAGCTTCTTGAGACTCATCATCTGTTCTACCGCTATTGCAAGTATTATACTTGATGATTTGTACTACTAAACCCTGCATGATCCCCTAAACCCTACAAACCCTACTTGGATGTTCATGGTACTCATTGACCAGTTATAACTGTACTTATAACACACTTACAAGCCCCTTAAGCGCCCCAATATGGTTATAAGTACAACTATAAGTACAGCTATACTTGGTTAATAAGTACCCTGAACTTCCAAGTACCCCTTCACCAAGCCTTTCACCGAGCCTTCGGAACCACTCCCGCGCTCGAGGACCTGGTGGAAATGGCGGACGCCCTCAAAGAAAGCCACGTGAACATCGCCCACCTCAAGCGTGCACCTGTGTCGGCACAACCGGGTAGGATTTAGGGTTTGGTGTTTGGGGTTTGGGGTTTAGGGTCTGTTTAGGGTTTAGGGTTTAGGGTTTAGGGTTTAGGGTTTAGGGTTCTCTCAACCCCCAGCTTGGTAGCCATAGTAAAGCCCCTACACCCCAGATCCCAAACCCTAAGCGCCAAACCGGAATGAACCACTACTCAAACCCCAAACCCCAAGACACTCAACCTCAAAACGCCTCAGGCCCCAAACCCGAAACCCTAAACCCGAAACCCTAAACCTTAAACCCGAACCCTGAACCCAGATGGGCCCTTAAACGCCCACTTGCGAAAGATGGTCTTCGCAAGACGGAGCAATATCGAGTCTCGTTAGGAGCCCGTTCAGACCCTGAACGAAACCCTAAACCATAAGCCCTAAACCCTAAACCTCTAAAGCCTAGAACTAAACCCGAATCATGCCCTAATCCTAAACCCTAGACCCCCTAAAGCCTAGTCATTTAAAGTGACCTCTCTAAGGGCAGCCCTAAACCCTAAACCCTAAACCCTAAACCCTAAACCCTAAAACCCTAAAACCTAAACCCTAAACCCTAAACCCTAAACCCTAAACCCTAGGCAAAATGCCAATCCCAAGCTCGCAATCGATGTTCTGAGTTTGGGGGGGAGGTGAGGGATTTAGGGTCTTGAGGTTTTCGGGCTTTTGGGGCCTTTTGGGGTTTTAGAGGTTTGTGTGGATTTGGGGTTTTGGGGGCCTTGTCATTGTAAGACCCTTGAGGCCGGAAAACGTTGCGTTTTGATGGGTTTAGGGGTATGGGTTCAGGGTTTGTGGGTTTTAAGGGTCATCTTCCCTTGGCCTCGGGCCCAGGGTTGAGGACTGAGGGCAGTTTACCCGGGTTTCGCATTTGTTGGATGACAAGTCAGAACTCTGTGTGCACGCAGAAGTCTTCCTCACTGTAGCCCCAAAGCTCTCAAGCCCTAAACCCTAAACCCTAAACCATCCTAAACCCTAAGCAAGTGCTTGGGGGTTTGGGCCGCCAACCTCACCCCGGCCCCCACCCCTCCCCCGCTGATGGCTGAGGCAGCGTCGACCATGAGCAGGTTTCGGACGGAGGCCTTCCCTGTGACACGTTTAGGGTTTAGGGTTTAGGGTTTAGGGTGTAGGGTGTAGGGCTTAGGGCTTGGTTTAAGGTTTAGGGTTTGGGGTTCAGGGCTTGGCGACAAGTACTGGGCATGGATGTTGATATGGTTTGGCCGCAGCACGCGAGATCTCGGGTATTCAATTCAACGATGTTGATGCTTCTGCTTTTTTAGCGCATGTAGTTTGGAGTGACAATTCAATGCATGTATTTGTGTACGAGGTGATGTGGGGGTTTACGAAAATAAGGGACCCCGAATATCGATCCCCAAATAGTAGGATTCACTTACAATAAGGACCCCAATAAGGTACCCCCCCCCCTAATTTCGTAAACCCCGATGTGAGTCAGTCCCCCCCCACCAAGTGTTTTTTTCGGAGGGGGAAGCATTCGGAGCCGGTGTACTTGGAGGTTCAGGGTACTAAGTCACCCAACTATAAGTGTTATTATCAACCACACATAAGGTTCTTAAGTACCCTCAGGGCTAGAAGTACTAAACCCTAAACCCTAAACCTTAAACCCTAAACCCTAAACCCTAAACCCCAAGTACCATGAACTCCCCAGCATATGACATGTTTTCACATGCCGTTGCGAGCTCGCAGGGCGCACTATAGGGATGCTTGTGTCCGCCGGCACATCGGGGTGCAGAGTTTCCCCAAGATCTATGTGAAAGGTGAAGCAGATACCGACAGACCCAGAAAGGGACTACATCCTAAACCCTAAACTGCCCTAAACCCTAAGCCTCAACACCCCAAAACCCTAAACCGTAAAATCGTAACCCTAAACCCTAAAA